TCATATCAGTAACTGTTGAATGAAAAACAATTATCATTTCCCTCAGAAAATGACTGACAAAGAAAAGAATCAAAACTCATGGATCCTCTTATTTACCATGCACTGTATGGGCATCCTGGTTCAGCTCTGTTGAGGGAAAATGAGCCACGGCTGAAGAGGGAAGTAAAAACCTGGGAAGCAGGTTCTTGCAAACTGTATTGAGGAGTATGACTGAGATCTATAATGGAGAGCTATGAGGGGTGTTAAGCAAGGGAGTGATGTGGTCAGAACTGTGGTGTAGAACAGTCACTCTGGGTCTTGTGTGGAGAATGGATGGATGAGGTGGAGAGACGTTAGCTGAGAGGTTATTAAGATCCAGAGAGAGGAGATGGTGATCTAAAGCAGGATAATGGCAAAAGAGACGGAGAGAATAGATTGAATAGAAGTTTGTAAGGCTGCTGGTTAAGGGTCAGACTCTCAGTTTTGGCTCAGGTCATGATCTCACAGTTTCTAGGGTTTGAGCCCCGCATCGGGTTCTGTGCTGACGGTGCAGCGCCTGCTTGGGATTCTCTTTTTCTCCCTCTCTTTCTGTCCCTCCCTTGCTCATGCTGTCTCTGTCTGTCTCAAAATAAATAAACTTAAAAAAAAAAAAAAAACTATTAAAAAAAAAAAAAGCTTGTAAGGCTGAGCTGAAAGAACTGGGTGGTTGAAAGGGTGAACAGGAAGGAAGAGCCAAGAAGGAGGCCTACATTTCTGGCAGGCACCACAGGGAGTATAGTCCTACCACCATAGAAAGAGGAGATTTAGCAAGAAGGAAGCAAGTTCAATTTTTGGACATGTTAGATTTAAGGGTCCCCTAATAGAAGATGACAGCAAAAGTATGCTAATGGCAATTTTAAATATAGGTCTGCATCTCAAGAAAAGGTTAGGGTTGAAAAGTATCTTTTTGATTTTTATTCCAGATCAGTGTTTTGTTTTCTATAAATATGGTTACACATATTAAAAATGAAGTAAAAGGTTAAATACAGCTAAGCTCAAAGGCTTATTCCCTCTTGATTTTCTCAGAATTTTATATACTTTGGTTTCTTAGAAGACCAAAAGTCTGGACAAGGTATTTGAATTCTCTTCTGACATTTAAACACTATCTGTTAATATGATTTTCGGCAGTAGAGTTATTTAATGGATTAGGAAGAAAAACGCATAATCTTGAAGTACATTTAGAGCTGCTCATATTGGTTCTCGCATAAGAAAAGGTGTTTTGTTTTTTTTTTAATATCCCAGCATTTTAGCCTTCATAAGCCCACGCAGCAGTAAATCCTAAACTTCAAGTCCCCATCTTCAGATTTGTGAAGGGAGGCTACTTAAAGGGACATGTGGTCTGGCTGCTTAGAGCAGTATTGAGAGGGTGGACTCTCCAGGCAGACTCCGGCCCTTCTGTCTTACTACTTATATGATCTTGACCAAGGGATTTCATCCCTCTACCCTCAGTTGCCTCATCTGTAAGATAGTGATAATAGTACCCCCTCTTGGGTTTATGAAGATAACTTACATAAAAGCACTTATGAAATATTGTGTGCACTCAATCATGTTATCAGTAAGTAATTCTGTTCAAGACAATTTTCTTTCTCCTAAACTCAACATCACCACTGATAAAAAACCATAGAAAAATATTATCTTAGGTCAGGTTTTCCAACCAGAAACAGAATTTCATATATAAGATGTAACATCTAAAGGCTAGTCTTTTCTGGGAACTCTTAGGTATCTGTCAAAGTCATCACAGAGTGGAATCTTACTAAGCAAGGCAGAATCGATAAGGTGGACTGTTTGGAAAAGAATTCCCAGGTAGCTAGGCACTAGGGCCAGAGAAGCAAGAATTAATATCTGAAGTTTACTGAAAAACCAGTTCTACATTCCAAACAGTCATGTTCCCATCAAAAATATGGATAAGGGTGTTCACAATATAAAAATAAAAGTGTAAATCCAATGTAAGTAGAGTAGTTTACCTTCATTTCCATAAAATGGAAATTAATCAGGACAAACATTTTACTAAAGGGACCCAGCAGGGCCAGTGAAGCAATGATACTCCTGTATGGGATAAAACCACACAAGTAGGAAGGACCATACCTACGCTTCACCAAGAGAATATTCTGCTCCCAGAATGATTAGTTATGAATATGCTTGAAATAAAATGAGAGCCTTCCCAAATCATGAGCATGACACATGCTTTTCAATTGGCTGTTAACATTCTTGAAAGCAACGGTTTACCAATAATTACAAATGATGTACGGCTTAAAGTAAAACATAATACGATGCTTGATTACAAATTACAACCAGTCTATAGAAGTTAAATGCATACCATACTTTAATAATCAAGACAGTTTAGCCATTTTTCTGGAGTATGTCTCAAACAGAGTTAGCATATAACCCGTATTTAACAATATTGCTGACTTTTTAGTCATTTTATATTTAAGGGTCCAAAATATATTATGTTCACAAAATAACACTGTGAATGCCAACCAGTTTTTTACTTATTCCTTCAGAAACACTCTACCCTGGTCATACACACTAATTTTTATCACTAAAAATAACCAAAGGTGGTAATTCAGTCTCACCTCTACACAGAAGTTCTAATTGCCCCAGAAACCTGTAGGTCAAGTTCTCAACCCTTGAAAAGGAGCAAAAATGTTCCAGGGCATCACCATAGCCATGTATTTGGGCTTTGTATTTATAGCATTAGATTTGAGACCTAAATATGGTCATACGCATCGCAGTAACCCAAGTTCCATATCAGAAATAAAATGTGAAAGGAATCAAAAAGATTTTGTAATTCCAATAGCACAGACTTCAAAAATTGAACTCTTAGACATAACTCCTACATCTGTCTTTAACTAAGAGGTCATTACCATGCTTACAGGTTTGAGGCAGTAATCTATGGATTAGTGTGTGATTAATCAAAGAGTGCACTTACTACCATGAACTTGGGTCCTATGCCATAGGATTATTTTTGCTTTCTCCAAAAGAACCATTTGCTCCTGAAGTAATAGACTTTTAAGGCACATTTTAACAAAAACCCATCATATACCCAGCTTAAAAATGGAAGCTCCTCCTGGTTACAACAATATATATATATATAGCTAAGTAATGTGTGATTTACCAGATAGGCAAGTGTCTCTACCTTTAGGATAAAGTCACATTAGAAAAGTGATTCTTTATTTGCTTAATCAAAAAGAAACATTGTGTAAAAAATATTAGAGCATTGAATTTGTAAGAATAACCCATATGTACCAAGCCTGTTGGCAAAGATCCAAAGATCCAACAGGATATAGGTCTAGAAATTAAGGAAAAGGCTCCTTTGGAACCCTGGGCTCCTACTGACCCAGGTTTCTGAGCAGGAATCATGAGGAAGGGAGTTGGGCGCCTTAATGATTTTTGGAAATTTCCTTCCAAAATGCAGACCCTTGGGAGGACTCAAATCTTAAACCGCAATCAGTCTTGCATTTGCAGTTAGCAGCCTCAAAGGAATAGGATTTGGGGAGTAAAGGAGAGAGGATGGAAGGAAGCTACAGATGGAAGTGAGATAGTTTCAAGGGCAAGTAACTTTAGAAACTTGGTACATTTTGCTAGGACCAGCTTTGATTTCCTCAGGAGTCTCTGCTTAAAAATAAATAAATAAATAAAATTATTTTCTAATACCCACAAGTAGCTTTAGGGCACTGACCCTGGGGATGGACATAGAATTACCTACTTGGAATGGTCTGGGGTGAGGGGTGATTAGTAAGTCTCTTAACATCCTGATAGTCTAAGGTAAGCATAAGTGGAAGAATTTCATGGAGACCAAGACATAGCTAACTGTAACGCCTCCTCTGGCTGTCCTCTTCCCACTGATCGTTAGGGGTTTGCAGGATGGCTTTTCAGCTATCAGAGTGTGCTGCTAGCAAGCTGAGCTCTAGTTCAGTCCTAAGGTGGGAACAGGCAGAGTCCACAAGGCACACGATCACAGATGAGCAGGAGGCTCAGTGGCGACAAACATGCTCACCAGGATTATGCTCTCCGCTCAAGTTCTGAGACATTCCCTGCGGTCATGATCCTCAACAAACGTTTTAAATGTTGCACAACAGCAGGCCCATTGCTCAGGGCCGAACATACAGAATTGTATATATATTTTTAAATCTGTAGGTACCAATCACCTACAATTGGGAAACCATGTGGCCTCTGATGTTACTTTGACCAATCTCCAGTGATTGGCACCATTTTGGAAATCTGGTCCCGAAGGTTCTAAAGAACAGTAATGCAGCAAAAAGGAACAACCTCTCTGTATAAAATGATTATAGAGATGTGTGTTGAGGTAAAGAGCTCTGTAAAAACTGTTGAGTCGGGAAGTACTGCCCCAGCTATAGAAATTTTTAGGTAAGTTTGGTGCTAACAGTATTCTACAAAACTCCCGTTTATACCAGTGATAAACAGGAGACAGTTCTTATTGCTCCTGGAGCTTGCTGCCCCAATCTGCTCCAGCTCCACTGAAAAATGATTTTTCTCAACAATTGTTAGCAAAGATTCCCAAAGTGATTAAAAAAAAAAGTCATTGCCAGTGCATTGCTTTTTGATTTCTGATTGCCATATAGATCTGAACTACACTACAGTATGCATGTCCTTGACACCAAGTACAGAAAAAAGCTTAGAAAAGTTGTTTTATCAAAGTTCAAAGAAAAAAAAAACATGAAAAAGAGCAAAATATATACAGTTCCTGGCAGTCCTCACACAGGAGTTTCTGACCACAGACCATAAAAGTTTACATTTGTGTAACGAAATTACAGATTTTACTTCATTGTTAAAATACAAGTTTTGGCTTCAAAGTGCTCACTTTATTTAAAAAAGAGAAGATCAAGAGGGTTGCAGGAATTTTTCTTTTCTTACACCGAATACATCATGTGTCCCATATCCTTTTTCCTTTTCCTTTAGTGCAACACAGCTCAGTGGCCTCACTGGAAGGTCTGGCTTAAAAAGATACTCCTGAAACTTCACTACAGCAGCACATTAGGGGTCCCATTGGGGGTGGCTCCTTTTTTCTTCTGTAGTCGATTCTGAACTTTTCGTGATTTCACCATCTTCATTCTCACCTCAAAAACTTCATGGATGGCCTTCCGGAAGCAATGAAAATTATAGTCAATAAGCCCTGGAGAAGAAAACAAAAATATTTAGAAATGTCTCATGGAGCACCTGGGTGGCTCAGCTGGTTAAGCATCTGACTCTTGATTTCAGCTCAGGTCATGATCTCAAGGTCTTGAGTTTAAGCCCAGCATTGGGCTCAGCACTGGGCGTGAAGCCTACTTGAAATAAAAAGAAAAGAAAATTTTTAAAAAGACACTTAGAAACAATCTCCTCTTTTCATGTCTGCTGTGGCCAAGACAAGCAACTAGGGGGAGGCAAAAGAACAGCCGTAACAGAAGGTTCACAGACTTCCTGAGGAGCTCTGCAGCTGGGCTTCAGGAATTGCAGGTAAGATTTTGCAAATGGACATGTTTTCCTAAGGAAAGGTTCCAGAGATGGGGCACCTGGATGGCTCAGTCAGTTGAGCGACTGACTCTTGATTTCAGCTCAGGTCATGATCCTAGGGTCATGAGATCGGGTCCCGAGTCTAGCTCTGTGCTGAGGGTGGAGCCTGCTTGGGATTCTCTATCTCTTTCCCTCTGTTCCTCTCCCTCACTCATGCTCTCTCTCTCTCTCTAAACAAAAAAAGTTTCCAGATGATAGACCACATTTCCACAGTGTCTATGATCCATAACATTTGAAGAACCAACTAAAGTGCACATTTTTCTGACATGTCAGAATTCAAAATTTCTTACAATTAAGACATATCTTCCATGAAATATTTATTACTTTTCCCCAAAGGGGATTATTAAATTGACTCTGAGTGGAGGCAGACCCTGACTTGAAGTATGGCTGAGATCTCAAAGCTTTAGGATCAATGATTCAATCGATCGATATTTACCAAATATCTATTATCTTTAAGCCATAGTCATAAGCCCTGGGGAAAGCAAAGTCCTAAGTTTAGAGTGGTAATAGTCACCTCCGGTCAATTCTAAGCTCACAAGTTCAACAATCAATGACACTCGAGTTTTTTCAATACTAAGTAAATTTTAAATGCAAAAACAGTAAGGGAGAATCTTTTTGTGTTTTCTGAAATTATTGGTACAAGAATAGAATAAAAGATAATCCAAAGTCTTGAGTGCATTCTTCATCATCACTAATGTGTAAAAGTGTTGAGAGCAACATTATGTTTATACCAATTAGGATAAGGCAGTTGGTTCTATTCACTATCTTTAACTGTATTGAAATAACTAGCCCAGTGGTTATTTCCATCCACTCAGGTGATACTTCCAAAGCCCAAACCCAAAATAAAAGAATTGGGATTCCAGCCAAGGAGTGAAATTCTTCCAAACAGTCGTAGTGCGCTGGAGCAAACACCATCTCAGCTCCCAGGAGCTGAAAACCCTCTCAGAGGCGCCCTCTGGTGCTTCTGCAGCGTTAGTGACCACAGTGCAATAAAACCTCCAAGTGATCTCCCTCAAGACAATTACCAGAATAAAGGGATAAGTAATAATAAATAAATAAGTCCAGGGGTGCCTGGCTGGCTCAGTCGGTAGAGCATGCGACTCCTGATCTCGGTTGTGAGTATGAAACCCATGTTGGGTGTAGAGATTACTTAAAAAATCTTAAAAAAGAAAAAAGTAGCTCTTTTCTGCCTGAGGCTTTCTTTAGTACCACAGAACTTCCTCAACCGCACACAGACAGGTACCAGAGATATGGGAATGAATGTTTTAAGGGTACTCCTCAAACAGAGGGGCCTGGGGGAAGGTGGATAAATGTTTCAGTCTTCCATACTCAACTGGGGTGATCTGAATTTGTTCCACACAGATTCTCAGTGATTCTCCTATTGGGAGTGAGCATAAAACTGCTCATTGACACCACTGTAGGGGGCTTTTCTACCTTCCCAACTCATTTCCCCACTTCCTCAGTTTGGTTTTTGGGACCATTTTTCATATAAAGTATGTAATTAAAAGAAAATAGGGGCACCTGGCTCGTTCAATCAGTAGAGTATCCGACTCTCGATCTCAGGGTCATGAATTCAAGCCCCACACTGGGTGTGAAGAATAAAAAAAATAAATTTCATATATAAAAGAAAATAAACAAGGAGCAAATAAATGATTTTATTTAGTGGGAATTTGGATACAAGATGTGAGAACAACCTCAAAATTCTTTGCCTATACAGTAAAACCTTGGCTTGTGAGCATAATTCATTCCACAGGCATGCTTGTAATTCAAAGCACCTGTATATCGAAAGAAATTCAAGAACTACTGCCTCAGTTGTGATCATCTGGGGTTCGGCATCACATACTACTTATATTGCAAGACATAGCTTGTTTATCAAGTTAAAAATTACTAGAAATGTTTGCTCGTCTTGCAGAACACTTGTAGAACGAGTTACTTGCAATCCAAGGTTTTACTGTATATGGAACCAACTTATGGAAGAAAGCTTAGCTAAAAAAAAACTGGCTCAGTGAGAATGCAACTTGCAGAAATATTCTATCGGGGTGCCAGAAATATTCTATTCAGTCGGTTAAGCATCCAACTCTTGATCTTGGCTCAGGTCATTATCTCACAGTTTATGAGATTGAGCCCTGAGTCAGGCTCTGTGCAGACAGGGTGGAGCCTGCTTGGGATTCTCTCTCCCTCTCTCTCTCTGTTCCTCCCCACTTGCACTCTCTCTCAAAATAAATAAATAAACATTTTAAACAAACAAAAAAGAAATATTCTATTGATAGTTCCTGAAAAATCTTATCTTAATTCATCTTTGCAATTTAAAATGTTAACAGTACCTTGCTGCATTTGAAGTTTTAAAAGTAGAAATTCACAAGGCACCTGGGCAGCTTAGTCGGTTGAATGTCAACTCCTGATTTAGGCTTAGGTCATGATCTCAATATCGATTCTGAGCTCAGCATGGATTCTCTCTCTTCCTCCCTCTCTGCCCCTCCCCTGCTCGTGTTCTCTCTTGAAATAAATACATAAACATTAAAAGGAAAAAAAAAGATCCACATGATAAATTCCTGCTTAAATTTACTTCCATAACCATACATGGATGTTAAAATTAATGGGCAAAAGTGTGAGGAGGAACAAAATTTACATAGTTTTAAAGTATTTATTAACTACAAAGGGAAAGACAGGAACTTTCCAGTGGAAAAACCTGGCAGACATTGCCTTAACTAAATCAAGGTCAGCATCACCAGTAATAAGACTTATCAACATCATGAACCACTTGATATGATACACTGAGAAGGACACATTCTTGCCTAAGTGCATAATCTTGTTCCAACTGTGTGGAAACAATAGACAAATCCAATTTGAGGAACATTCTACAAAATAATTGATCGGTACTCTTCAGAAGTGTCAAGGTCATGAAAGATGAAGAACTGTCACAGATTGGAGGAGACTTGGAAGAATAACCAGTAAATCAATTTGGGATCCTAAAACAGAAAAAGGGCATTTTTGGAAAAATGGTGCAATCTGAATAAGGTCTACAGTTTCATTAATAGTATTATACCAATGGTAATTTCCTACTTTTCTTTAAAAAAATTTTTTTAAATGTTTATTTTTGAGAGTGAGAGAGACAGAGAGTGGATGGGGGAGGGGCAGAGAGAGAGAGGGAGACACAGCATCTGAAGCAGGCTCCAGGCTCTGAACTGTCAGCACAGAGCCCGATGCAGGGCTCGAACTCACAAACCATGAGATCATGACCTGAGCTGAAGTTGGATGCCCAAATGACTGAGCCACCCGGGTGCCCCTCCTACTTTTCATACTGTACTATATAGTATGTAAGATGTTAACATTTGGAAAATTGGATGAGGAATATGTGTAAACCATGTACTATTTTTGCAACTTTTCTGTTAAGTCTAAAATCAGTTCAAAATAAACAAGCTCTCCAGGTTGACACTAATGTACCCTAAATTTTAGGACCTGCCGCTAGCCTAGATTGTTTTGGGGCTCTAGTTGTACTATTTGCATTACTTTTCTTTTATTTAGCTTCCAAAATCAACATGAAGTATTAATCACCAAATATAAATTCTGAAAATATCTTTAACCAAGGAAATATATGTATAATGGTTTAAAACACAATACGCACAGAGGCGCCTGGGGACTCAGTTGGTTAAGCACCCAACTCTTGCCTTCAGCTCAGGTCATGATTTCACGGATCATGGGTCCAAGCCCTGTGTCATCAGCTCCCCGCTGACAGTCTGACAGTACAGGGTCTGCTTGAGATTCTCTCTCTCACTCTCTGCCCCTTCCCCTTCTCTCTCTCTCTCTCTCTCTTAAAATAAATAAATTAAACAGAACTGATTCTATGTAGGGACAAGCCCAGGAATCTTAGCTCTGACTTGCCATACACTGGTAGTATAACTTTGAGAGAAAGTCACTCCTAGTTCCTGGATCTGGGTAGAATCATCTATAACTGAGAGAACGAAACAAGGTATGGTCCTGTCCATGTTCAAAATTCCATGAATCTATTATATAACCTGCTCTCACTTTTAGCAAGATGAAAATAAGGAATAAAAGATTAACACTACTTCATTAAAAGTTTTGAAAGCCAAGGACCCAAAAGGCAATTTGGTTGATAACAGTCAGTAAATACAGGAAAAACCTACAACTTCACCAAGAAGCAAGGAAATGTAACTTGAAATGATACTAAGTTTTTAATAATCAAAAAGAGGTTTTTTTAATAGAGAAAGAGCATGAGTAGGGGGAAAGGGCCCGAGAGAGAGAGAGAGAGAGAGAGAGAGAGAGAGAGAGAGAGAGAGAAAGAATCTCAAGCAGGATCCGTGCCAGCGCAGAGCCTGACATGGGACTCAATCCCACGACCCTGGGATCATGACCTAAGCCAAAACCAAGTGTCAGACACTCAACTGACTGAGCCATGCAGGCACCCCAATAATCAAATTTTTTAATGCTAATACCCAATATTAATAGGAATATAGCAAAATGGATACACTTATATTCTCTTAATAGTGTAAGCCCATAAAATCTTTCAGAAGGACATTTTGGCAATATGTATCAGAAGCCACCAAAACACAGGGCGCCTGGGTGGCTCAGTCAGTTAAGTGTCCAACTCTGGCTCAGGTCATGATCTCACGGTTCATGAGTTCAAGCCCCGCGTCAGGCTTTGTGCTGACAGCTCAGGACCTGAAGCCTGTTTGGAGGTCTGTCTCCCTCTCTCTCTGCCCCTTCCCTGCTCACACTCTGTCTCTCCCTCTCTCAAAAATAAATA